GATCCAGAAGAAGCTCAGATACATGTATGATCATATACTTTACAGGAATTGGTAAAGCCTCCCACCCCTACCTCCTGAGCCTCAGGCCTGCTGCCAGGCCAAGGAACAAGGGACAAGCAGCAAGATTGAGTGGGTCAGAAAAAAGTGGACACAGTCCTGTTGGGGACTGCCAGACCTACTTGATTAAGACAAACCTTTGCCTGGTCTTTGAGAACTCCTCAGCATCCACCCCTGACCCAGGATACTTCTAGGCTTTATGTGGCTTTTACCTTACTCCCACTCCCCACTGAGGTTCCCTCCTCTGGGCAGGAACATCTGACAGCAGACACCAGGACACAGGATCAGCAGACACAAGATCTGCTAACACAGCTGGCAGCTGAGGTGGCTATTGATGAGAGCTGGGAACAAGAAGGTCCAGGTAACCCCTCTACATGCCCCATCTCTTCCCCCAAATGGGAGAGGCTCTGCTATCCACTCTCTGGAGATGAATATAAAGTAAAGAATGACTAACATCATAAGAACTATCATTTATTGAGTATTTACTCCAAAGGGAGCTAGTGTAGGCCTAGTGTTTAAGTGCATGGGCTTTAGAATCAGACAGTGATCCCCATTTCTACCACATACTAATTGTGTGATCTTGGGCAAGTTATTTGACCTAAATCTCACTCTCATCATATGTAAAATGGAGGTATGTATGGTAAAAACCTACCTTACAGGGAAGTCAGGAGGAGCAAATGAGATAATTCAATAGTTCTTGGGACCGTACCTGGCTCATAATATAAGTGTTCATTGAGTGTAGTGAGTGTAATGATGATGATATGAAAGAAGAGGCTATTCAAAATTAAATATAATTTAAAGTTCATTTGCTTAGTGTTACCAGCCGTATTTCAAGTGTTCAATACCCACATGAGCTCATGGCTACTACCTTACGGGATAGATAAGGGACATAATATACACTGTTTCCTTCATCATAGAAAATTCTTTTGGACAGTGTTTTCTGAAAGCTTCAGAGAAGTAGTTCTCAACCATGGATGATTTTACCCTCCAGGGTACTTTTGAAAATGTCTAAAGACTTTTTGGTTATCACAACTTGGGGGATATTATTGGCATCTGGTGGGTAGAAGCCCAGGATGCCATAAGCCACATCCTGCAATGCATAGGTTAGCCTCTCTACCACAACAAAGAATTATCTGGTCCAATGTGTCAATAGAACTAAGACTGAGAAACCTTGCTTACAGACACAATTTCATGGACCAACCTCAATAATTTTGAGGTATATACTATTATTGCCCATATATAAATGAGGAAACTCAGGCATGGTGAGCTTAAGGAACTTGACCAAGGCCACATAGCTCTTAAGTGGCAGGGATGGGCCTTGTACCCAAAGCTGTCTGGTTTCAAACCTCTTGCTCTGAAACTCTAGGCTAAAGGTGATCATGTCAGAGCCACACCCACTCTGGTAAAGTTCTTCCTACCCAGTGATATATAAAATCTCAGCTTCAGTCGTGCCTTCTTTGTGCTGCTCCCAGGGAAGTCTAATTCCAGCCCTGAATGGCAGAAACTGGCTGAACTTTAGCCTCCTCATATCCTAATCCTTTAGGGCAGTGATTCTGAAACCATGGGACATCCAGCCCATACATATCAGTGGAGTGGGGATGGATGTGGTTGAAAAAATATGTCCAAGATTGCTAATTTTTAACATTTGAAAAATTGGAGGAAATACTAATCTTATTTGTAAGATAAGTCACATGTGCTAGGGCTGAGCACAAAGCTGATAATGTATAGTTTTTAAAAAGTTGAGAAATGGGCTCAGTGACTTATGGGGGAGAAATCTTAGAATGCCTCTTCTTCCCTGACTCCATTACTTCTTTCAGCTGCCTCTCTCCAGAATGACCTCAACCAGGGTGGCACAGGAAGCCAGCACACTAATTCCCAGGGGCAGGCCAGCTGGTCCCTGGAGAAGGAGAAGACCAGGCTGCTGGCTGAGGCAGCAGTTGAGCTACGGGAGGAGAATACAAGGCAGGAACGGATCCTGGCCCTTGCCAAGCGACTGGCTGTGCTGCGGGGACAGGACCCTGACAAAGGTAAAGGCTGGAGTCAGCTGCTCACTAGTGTCTGTTGATCACAGCCTTCCCCTGCACTCAGGCCAAGCTCTCCTTCCCAGGGCTAAGTCAGGTGCTAGAGGTCCCTATGCCCAGAGATCTGTTGAGCCTTGCCCAGAGCCATGAGGAATGAATTGGGGCAAAGCAGTAGATGAGGAATCAGTGGCAGCCATCAGGAGGTAGGGGGACCTTCAGTCCTTTCAGGTGCTGAGGTTTCTTTTCCTGCCCTGCTCCTTAAGGCTGCTTCATTAATGGTCCAGCCTTGTAGGGTTGGGACAGGGAGGGACAAGTTCTGAACAGGGTAGCTAATGAGGCTCCTCAGCTCTGGAACAAACCCTGGGAAATAAACCATTTCCAGAAGAGGACAGTGGTTTAGGTGAAATCTCTCACCCTCACTCTTCCTCCCATTTCCATCTCTCCCTCATTCAAGTGACCCTTCAGGACCTCCACCTCCCAGACAGTGATGATGAGGAGGATGAGGAGACAGCCATCCAGAGAGTCATGCATCAGGTAGGCCTGGCTTACCCATCCAGCCACCCCTGTCCTGTTTCTGCCTCATTGCTGCTTGGCCCCATTCACCTGGCCTCCATTCTGGGGTAGCCATTCTGCAGCTCTTGTTCAAGTTGGGGTCCTTGTGTCCCTGTGACCCAGATTTGCCCCTTGGCCCCCTGAGATGGGGAATCAGCAGCCATAGGCAAGAAGTAAAGAAAGAAGAGTTGAGAAGCCAAGGCTACAGCACAGAAATACTGGGAGAAGGGCCTGGAGCAGGGAGTAGTATCCTTTCACCTGTTCACAGCTCACTGAAGAAGCTGCCTTGGATGAGGCAAGTGGCTTTAACATCCCTGTGGAGCCAGCTTCCCGACCCCAGGCCCCACCCTGCAGAACAGAGCCTAAGGTGAGAAAAGCCCATAGCCTTCCTTCCTACCTGGCTGATTGCTTCTATCATGTATCTTACTTCCTGTATTCCTCTTTGGTCCCTGAAGGCCCAAGTCATGGCTCCCAGGCCAGAGGCTAAGGAAGAAGAACTTCCCTGGTGCTGCATCTGCAATGAGGATGCCACCCTGCGATGTGCGGGCTGTGATGGAGACCTCTACTGTGCCCGGTGCTTCCGGTGGGTACAGGTAGAATGTTCTGTGGAAGGGCTCAAGGGTTGCCTACAATCCCTAATCTTCATCCCTTTGCTCCACAGGGAGGGCCATGATGCCTTTGAGCTTAAAGAACACCAGACATCAGCCTACCGTCCCCCATATACTGGCAGACAGTACTGAGGAAACCCCGACCCTCCTGGAAAGGTGGTCCTATAGACATCCTGCAGGCTGGCAGTGATGCCCTGAGGACATCAATGAGACAGCAAATCAAGTCTACTGATGATGGATACACCCCTTCCTGAGCCTCAGTGTCCCCTGGAAAGAGGAAAGATTCCATTTGAAACAATGAGTGGAAAAGCCAAAGGGAAAAAGTAGGGTCCCTCCTCCAAGAAGCCTGGACTAGAAGTAAGAGGCATGATGTTCTAGAAAGACCAAACTGAATCTAAGGGTGAGTCCTGTAGCCTGGCTCCAGGGCCCATTCCCCTACCTGGCACATAGTAGATCTAATAAAGTATATGTATTCATTGGGCTCAGCATCTACCCATATCTCTCTTTCTAGCAATGCTGAGGATTGAACTTAGTCTTTGCCCATGCTAAGTACATGCTCTGCCACTGAGCTACCCCACCCTCAGCATCTCTTATCTCTAGAACCTAGTTGACCCTGAGCCCAGGCCCTGTGAGAGATGACAAGAGCAGAGCAGACTATAAGAACAGTTCTGTGGAAGGAAAGAAAAAAAAATGAGCTATCCTGTAATCTTCTCCCAGCAGGAACAGTCCCACCCATCCTGGTGGCCTCATGAAGAAAGCATGAAAATTCATTCAACCAAACTGTGTTTCCTGCTCTAGGCAGAACTTTCAGGCCCCTCTGTATTGAATTTCTCAGTCTCTCTCAGTACTCAAACAGTGCATGGAGGAACAATGCATACATACCTGCCTTACTTACAAAGGACCCCACCTCCCAGGGCTCCTGTCCCAACCTGCCTGCCATTCAGACCCAGTATCTGTTTTCTAATGACTTCTCCTGAGTTGCCCCTGGCCTCTCAACCTATGTTCTTTATGTTCTGCATAGCCTCTACTTTTTCTCTTCCTGCCCCCAACTAGAATCAACTCAAAAAAAGACCCTCACCTGAAGCCTCCCCCATCAGCTGTGAGTAGAAGTGGGGTGAGCTTTCTCTGATACCCCCAGATCCAGCTAAGTTTTCCTGTTACCTCCTCTCTAGATTCAAAATTAATCTTTGACATTTGAGCTCCCTTGTAATGCCAGGACACTATGTGTCTTAGCCATCTGCCCTCAGCTTGGCCTCCAGGCTTTATTAGATTGTGATTTCACCAAAGCAAAGCTGTTGACTTTCTTTGAGTTTTTAAGACCCATTTGGAGGATGGATGGATGGATCAAGTATGTAGGTACAGCCTAATGACTTAGGATATTGGTCTTTGTTTTTTGTTTGTTTGTTTGTTTGTTTATATTTATTTTTTAGTTTTTTGGCAGACACAACATCTTTGTTTGTATGTGGTGCTGAGGATAGAACCCGGGCCGCACACATGCCAGGCGAGCGCGCTACCGCTTGAGCTACATCCCCAGCCCCAGGATATTGGTCTTTGAATGAATCACTTCACCCTTTCCTTCCCCTGGTCCCTCTGCACAAATATGCTCCATACTCCATTTAGCTGGGGCTGCTAAAGATTTTATCCACTTGGCTGACATGGAAAGCACTGGACAACAGCAATGAGTGGCTCCCAGACAGCCTAGCTGCGACTGCACATAACCTAGGGTGTACCAATGTCCCTCCCTGTCCTTTATATTCCTTGTCTGTGTCTCAAGGAACTGTATTCCTTTCAGCCAGGGTCCAGGGTACTGAGGCTGCTAAGGTAATCTCTCCAGGTTTATTTCTGAGGCCGGCTGAGTCTTCGGAGTTTCTTGAGTTGACTGAGAAGCTCAGAGATAAAAGGCTGAAGGAGAAAGAAGAGTAAGATTAAGGCATGAAATCACACCCACGCACCACACTGCCCTCCCCAGTCTCTCCCTGACTGTGATCCTAGCTTCCCTTAGCCAGGGAAGGAAAGAAGGATGCAGGACCAAGCTTTCTTTTCAAACATTCGTCTTCATTAGTGACCTCCCCACAACCACCCTTCACCCCCATGCCCCTCTTGCCCCTAGACCAGCAGAATATCCCATACCTCTGTGGGGCGGGGGCAGTTTTGGAGAATGGCCTGAGTAGAAGAGAGCAGAGAGTGAATCCATGAGCCAAAGTACATTCCTGTGAGTCCCACTCAATCTCCCAATAATAATTCTCCCCTCTGAAGTCGTTCTCCCCACTCAACCCAAGGAAGCAGACTCAGGGTTCCTGGGTCTACCTTGGTCTCAAACCAGCTTTTGGCCCCCAACCTCTGGGCCCAGTCTCATCCTACCTCCAACTGAGTCTTCTGCTCCTCTGTGGATAGTTCCATGAGAGCCTCCAGGTCAATCTCAGGCTCAGAAGGGACTGGTTGATCCTATTTGGGAAGAACACAGTGCTCAGACAGGCCTGGTCAGCTAGTTCTGGAGAGAAAGTTACTTTCAGGAACTCACCCATCTCCAACCTCATCTCTAACTTCCTACATTTAGCCTCACCTTACAGAATACCCATTTTCCATTCAACAAATATTTACTTAATACCTACTATGTTCTATTTGAAACAGTGTTAGGGTTCTTTAAATAATGCCAAGTTTATATACATTGTTGGTAGAAATGTAACTTGGTACAATTAATTCGGAAAACAGTTGGGCAGTTCCTTAAAATGATAAATACAGAGTTATAATTGGACCAAGAAATTCCATTCCAAGGTCTGCCCCCAAGAGACATGAAAACAGGTCTACACAAAAACTTGCGCATGAGCCGGGCATAATGGTGCACGCTTGTAATCCCAGTGGCTTGGGAGGCTGAGACGGAAGGATCGCAAATTCAAAGCCAGCCTCAGCAATGGTGAGGTGCTAAGCAACTCAGTGAGACCCTGTTTCTAAATTAGATACAAAATAGGGCTGGGGATGTGGCTCCATGGTCAAGTGCCGCTAAGTTCAATTCCCGGTTCAAAAAAAAAAAAATTGCACATGGATGTTCATTAGTAGCATTATTTTCATTAATAGTCAAAAAATGAAAACAACCCAAGTGTCCCTCAACTGATGAAATGAAAAAAATGAAATCTTGCATAGACAGATAATACTACACAGCAATAAACAAGAAGGAAGGAACAGTTTATGCTAAACATGGATTAACCTTGAAAACCTGTTAGTCAAAGAAGCCACTTACAAAGGCCACATATTGTCAATGACTCATTGTATATGAAATATCTAGAATAAGCAAATCTACAGAGACTGAGGTAGATTAGTGGTTGCCTTGAGCTGGAAATGGTAGTGGAAGGGAATGGGGTGTGACTACTGTGCTTATGGTCTTTCTTGGGGAGAAATAACGTTCTACAATTAGACTGTAGTAATGGTTAATAATCTTTTAAGATACCGAAAACTGTTGAATTGCACACTTTTAAGTGGGTGAATTATGTGAAACCTACCTCAATAAAAATATTTCTTTTATAGTTATAGTTGCTGAGAGCTGGGGTAACACAGTGGTAGAACGCTTGCCTAGTATGTGTGAGGCACTGGGTTCGATTCTCAGCACTGCATATAAATAAATAAAAAATAAAGGTCCATCAACAACTAATATAAATATATGTATATTTACATATATGTATACAAAAGTTATAGTTGTTGAAAAAATTAATACAAAGTTAAAAATTAAAAAATCTTAAGAGAACCAGAAAGCAAGTTACATATTGAGAGAAAAGATTTGCAAAAGAAATATCTGATAAAACACTGTTATCCCAAATGCACAAAGAACTCAGTGCCCCTGAGTTCAATTCCTAGTACTGGGCGGGGGTGGGGGAGACCTCAAAAGTAAGAAGACAAATAATGCAATTTAAAAATGGGCCAAAGATGCCACACACCTGCAATCCCAGTGACTTGGAAGACTGCGACAGGAGGATTGCAAGTTTGAGGCCAGCCTCAGCAACTTATTGACACCCTGTTTCAAAATAAAAAGGGCTCAGGATATGCCTCAGTGGTTAAGTGCTTGAGTTCAGTCCCCAGTATGGGGGCGTGGGCAGGGACGGGACATGGCTGAATGGATATGTCACCAAAGAAACTATACAGACAGCAAATAAGCACATGAATGGATATGTTCAACTTCATATGTCATTAAGGAATTGCAAATTAAAATAATGAGAGCACTATGTATCTATTAGAATGGCAAAATATCTAAAGTCTTACCAACACCAAATGCTGGTGAGGGTGTGCAGCAACAAGAACTCTTACTCATTGCTGATGGGAATTCAAAATGGTATAGGCTCACTACAAGACAGTTTGGCAGGTTTTTTTTTAACTTTATTTCATTTATTTATTTTATATGGTGCTAAGGATAAAACCTAATGCCTTACATATGCTAGACATATACTCTACCACTGAACTATAACCCCAGCCCCAAGTTTGGCAGTTTCTTACAAAATTAAACGCACTCTTGCCACACAATCCTTGGTGTTTACCCAATGAGATGGAAACACATCCATACAAAAACATGCACACAGGCTCAGTAATCCAGTTACTTGGAAGGCTGAGGCAGGAGGATCACAAATTCAAAGCCAGCCTCAGCAACTTAATAAGACCCTATCTTGAAATTTAAAATTAGAAGGACTGGGGAATATAGCTCAGTGGTAAAGTACCCCTGGGTTCAATCCATAGAGCCAAAAATTTAACAAGTAAAAATAAAATAAAAATGGCTGGGGAATGCAGCTCAGTGGCATTGGGCTCAATACCCAATGCAGGTGAAGGTGGGGGTTGTAATAAAAAAAAAAATCTTGTACACAGCTGGATGCTGTAGCAAGTGAAGGTTGAGGCAAGGGATCACAGATTCTGGGGCAGCCTGGACAACATAACAACAGCAAGACTGTGTCTCAAGAAAACAACAAACCAAAAACCTACAAAGAGATGTTTATTATAGTTTTATTCATATTTGCCAAAATTTGGACACAAATATGATGGTCTTCAGTAGGTAAATGCATAAGATTTGGAACATCCAATGAAATATTTTTCAGTATAAAAACAAAATGAGCATCAACCCCTGAAAAAACATGGAAGAACCTCAAATGTATATTGCTAAGTTAAATAATTATTATTTTTTTCTTTTTCCTTTTTTGCAGTGCTGGGGATTGAACTCAGGGCCTTGGTGCATGCCAAGTTACACTTTACCACTGAGCTACTTCCCCAGCCCTAAAGAAGTCAATTTTAAAAGGCTATATACTGAAGAAGAAGGTACTAGGGAATAAGAATAACCAAATGTGCATGTATGAATATGACAAAATGAATTCCACTATTATATATAATTATAATTTACCAATATAAATGTTTTTAAAAGGTTATATACAGTATGATTTCAACTATAACGAATGACATTTTGAAACACGCTGATCTATGGAGACAGTAGATCAATAGTTGCCAGGGTTTGGAGGAGGAAAGGAGGAGGCAGAACACAAAGGATTTTTAGAGCAGTGAAACTGTTGAGTAGGATATGATATTGGTGAATATATGTCATTATACATTTTATACATTTTAGAATGTAAAATACTAAGAGTGAACCCTAAAGTAAATTATGATTTTTGGATGGTAATGAGGTCAGTGTAAGTTCATCAACTGTAACAAATGTACCATCTCTGAGGCTGGACATTGAGAGAGGCTGTTCATGTGTAGGGACAGGGCATATATGAACTCTGTACCTTTCACTCAATTTTGCTTTTATTTATTTATTTATTTTTTTTAAAGAGAGAGTGAGAGAGGAGCGAGAGAGTGAGAGAGGAAAGAGAGAGAGAGAGAGAGAGAGAATTTTTTTTTAATATTTATTTTTTAGTTCTCGGCRGACACAACATCTTTGTTGGTATGTGGTGCTGAGGATCGAACCCGGGCCGCACGCATGCCAGGCGAGCGCGCTACAGCTTGAGCCACATCCCCAGCCCCTCAATTTTGCTTTTAACCTAAAACTGTTCTAAGGATTGAGTCTTTTTTTTTTTTTTTTTTTGGTTCTGGAGATTGAGCCCAGGGGGACTTAACCACTGAGCCACATGCCCAGCTTCCCCGGTTTGTTGTTGTTGTTGTTGTTTGTGTTGTTGTTGTTGTTTAATTTTGATACATGGTCTCACTAAATTGATTAGGACCTCACTAAGTTGCTGAGGCTGGCTTTGAACTTGTCATTCTCTGCCTCAGCCTCCTGAGCTTCTGGGGTTACAGGTATATGCCACTGCACTCAGCAAAGAAGACATAAGCTCAAGATTGAGGAGGCAGGGGCTGGGGATGTGGCTCAAGCGGTAGCGAGCTCGCCTGGCATGCGTGCGGCCCAGGTTCGATCCTCAGCACCACATACAAACAAAGATGTTGTGTCCACTGAAAACTAAAAAATAAATATTAAAATTCTCTCTCTCTCTCTCTCTCTCTCCCTCTCTCTCTCTCTCTCACAAAAAAAAAAAAAAAAAAAGATTGAGGAGGCAGGGCTAGGATTGTGGCTCAGTGGAAGAGTGTTTGCCTAGCATGTGTGAGTCACTGGGTTTGATTCTTAGCACCACATATAAATAAACAAAATAAAGTCCATTGACAAAAAAAAAAAATGAGTGGGAAGGAGGAGGGATAAGAAAGGGGAGGAAATTAAAAATGAATTTGACAAAATTATGCTATGTGCATATGTAAATATACCACAGTGAATTCCACTTTTATGTATTCTATAAAGCACCAATTTAAAATTAAATAAATAGCTCAGTATGGTGGTGCATGCCTGTAATCCCAGGGGCTCAGGAGGCTGAGGCAGGATTCGAAAGTTTGAGGCCAGCCTCAGCAATTTAGTGAGGTTCTAACCAACTCAGAAAAACCCTGCCCCAATAAAAAATAAACCTAGCAGCTCGGGAGGCTATGGCAGGAGTACTGCAAGTTCAAAGCCAGCCTCAACAACTTAGTGAGGCCCTAACCAACTTAGTAAGACCCTGTCTCTAAATCAAATATTTTAAAAAGCCTGGGCAATTCCCCCCAAAACAAAAGCTGAATGTTTTCTTTGATAAGCGGATCCATAGTGGGGCAGGGGGATAGGGAAGAATGAAAGAACTCTGATTTGTATAGAAGGGAGTGAGGGGAGGGTGGGACTGTGGGGGTGGGAAGGACAGTAGAATGAGACTGACATTATTACCCTAAATACATGTATGATTACACTATTGGAGTGACTCTGCACCATGTACAGCCAGAGGAATGAGAAGTTGTGCTCCATTTGTATGCACTATGTCAAAATGCATTATACTGTAAAATTAACCAATAAATAATTTTTTTAAAAAAAGAAAAGATCATACCAAATCAGATCTATGCAAAAAAGGGGGGCTGGGGTGTTCCTCAGTGGTTAAGCACCCCTGGGTTCAATTCCCAGTACAAATACATAA